ACATAAATTGTTTGCGCCTAAACTATGTAAAACCAATGCAGGTGAACGCGCCCCATTAAGACGTATTATGAAAGTATATAACATGCATTTTTCAAATATTGATCTATTCACTTCATCACAGTTACAATTTCGCAAGAACATTCTAAGAAAGTTGGTAGATATTCAATAGTATCTTTAAATATTTTACAAGATAAATTTGTACTGCTAGCAATTTTTTTTTAATTATTTTTTTACATTTTGTCTCATTTTGATTTTTATGTTACTGAGTACTGTCAATTTTATTTTATTTTCCCTTTTTCACTTATACTCTTGTTTATTGTGCATTTATTATTTACTGTTACCAATTTAATATTACTTTGTGGATAATGGTGCTGGTTACATAATGACTAATATCATTTATAAAATGTTATTTGGTTTAAGCATTATTATGTAATTGTTTGTTGTCCTGAATAAATTAAAAAAAAAAACAAAGTAAATAAGCAAAATGGCTGATTGTGTCAGCGCTACTGAAGATAGCAAACGTGTCCTGGCCGAAAACTGTTTAGTTTTTTTTTGCGCCCGAAGCAAATATGGGCAACCCTCCAGAAAGCGGGGGAGGGAGGCGGTGAATGCTCATAGCATACCACGCAGCCGGCTGCGTGGTTATGTGGAGACTTTTACCTACTAAACACCGCCTTTTAGGGACTGGCTTAACAGTCTAACTAGAGATCTCTGAGCCGTATACGAACGCGACCCTCCTTGGCAGAAAGGAGGGCGCAAGCGGCGAAAAGCCGCTTAGAAGTGTGCTAAGGCAGATTAAGGGATGTGTTATGTCGGCTCGGCTTGAGCCGCCAGGAGGCAGTTGAGGTCAGCCGAAAGCTTGTTGGGGGGAACTGTTTAGTTTCGCCATTTTGCTTATAAACGCTTCCTAGCGCTTTTTTCTGTTAAACGCACCCATTGTTTTAACCAATTTTTTTTCAATTGCAAGGAATTGGTATTTTTAAATGCGCCAATTTTAAAACACGACTAAAAAGGTCCTATAAGTTTTTACGATAAAGTTAATATTTTCAGAGTTATACATTTTGAAACATTTGAAAAATCCTGAATTCAGATTCTTTTGATTCATTAAAAATATGGACTATTTTACAACTTTTGTTTAATAAATTGATTGATGTTGTTTGATGACTGCTTTTGGGCACAATAATATTTTTTTACATAATAAAATATCCCCCCCCCCCCCTCTCTCCTTATAGTTTTCTTACAATTCTTCCTTCAAGTCGTAACAAAGTTAAACTATAGACATCCAGTACTCGCGTATCCCGCGAAATTTTGAAAATTTGTGAAAATGTATAGTTATGTGTGTATTTTCTTTTTTGTAAAATCATAACCTCATTTTTTATTTTATACACAGGATATTGTATTGTATTGTATGTATTATATATTTTTTTACACAGGAATATTGACACAAAGTTATTTCTTCAACGGCTTCAGCACTGCGGAAAGTGCAGCCCCTTTGCCCTTGCATAGAAAATCACAGCACCCATGCTCGCCCCCTCAGCTTCAGTTTATTGGTCACCTTCGGCGACCAGCCTCAGCTCACTCAGAGGCCTGCGATTTGTTAAACGGGCTACACACGAGACGATATCGGTGGCGATCTAGGGTGGAAAGAAATCGGGGCTTTTATCGGGGCAGACCCTACACACGGGCCTGCCTAGCAGTACGCGTTCGGACTTGGAGCGGAACACATATGCGGTAGAGTTCTTCAAAATAGCTTCAACTCTCTTAAAACACCAATGTATTGGTTTGGCATTAGCCCTCTCGGTAAATTTATTCGAAAATAGAAAAAGAGGAGTTGCTGGGTGAAAAAATGGCTCCAAAAGAGACAAAAATTAAGCCACATAAACGTACTAAATGATCTGTATTCCAAAGACATGATTAATTTTCTCCGGATGGATGAAGACAGTTTTTATAACCTTCTAGAAATGATTTCTCCACTTATATAAACACATCAATTTCTCCTATGTACCTATGCTATTTAGTTATTTCTTCTCTTTGTTCATTTCTGCTTTGGTCAAAATCTGGTTATGTATTACACACAACAAACAAGGAAATAAAATACTTTTGTATAATAATATGTATACTTTTTTTAATGTAATCTTTATTTATGGAGTAAAACTATCAGAAAATAAAATAGCTTATATCTTTTTTTTAAACATAAAGAAACCTTTAATTTCGGACATACTCCCTTTTATATAACTTGTTTGTTGATGTGGAGATGGTGAAGGAGTAGAAGTTAGTTGTTTATAAGAGGATGAAGGCACGTAAGAGATCGAATTGTGGTCTTGTGGAGTTGTAAGAGATATGAGTGCGGTCTTGTGTTGATAGTGTTGGAATAGGAGTTAGTTGTTGAGGAGAGGCTTTATCTTCTCCTTACTTACATCATACACTCTACTTTACGAACGGCAATAAAAAAATTCGTTTAGTAGGCATTCTTGACCATGTCACTTCGCAGGGTCACAGGCTAGGGTGGATATGATTTGAATTTCGATAAAATTTCATTTAATTTATTTATTTGATTCACTTTTTTTTTGGTTTTTTGTAAAATATCAGTGCCATAGGCTTCTGCTCCGTTTATATGATTAAAATGTAAAAATTTTGTTACATAAAAAAGGTCATTCAGTATCACTGTTTTGTTAACTTCCTTCCGCGAGGGTTGCCGGCAGCGACTGCCAAAAGAAATCGGGCCGATGCGCCTACACACACGCAGTAAGGAGGGGGCGGTGCCCCGATCTAGGAAGCATCGGCTGATCTAGGAAGCATTTTTGCTCCTGCCAGCCGATTAAGGAGGCGATATCGGCTACGACTTAGGATGGCTCTACATACGACACGATTTAGAGGCAATCTAGGAGGCATCCCCACTACTCCACCCTAGATCGCCACCGATATCGTGTCGTATGTAGCCCGCTTTACAGCAGGCAAGGGCAGCCCTCCCTCCATGCCTACACCTTTACCAAAACACTAGGCGTAGGGCAGACAAGACTATGTGAAGTCGGTGGGGGGGGGGGGATTCGGTTTTAGAACCGATTTGACCAATAGTATCTATAAAGTCCGGTTTCTCTAAAATCTGGCAATGTTTCATTTACCACTATGTTAGTGGTAAATGAAAGAATTTAATGTGAATTGTTATAATTTTGTTTTCTGAAAAACCTCTTGACTGCTATCCACTGCGACTCAATTTGTTGTATATGAGTACTGTCTTCAGACACAAATGGATTATCTGGGTCCGAGTGATTAACATTATTATGAGTGTTACTCATATATACGGTACGTTTTATGCAATTTTTAGTTAAATTTGTTTTTATCGTAATTAATTAAAAAAGCATTTCTAAAATCCAAAAGCAGTGTAATAGGTTCGAGCTTAACCCTGACAAACCTCCTAAATTGGAAACCAAATAAAAAAATCAAGTTTTGGACGTCTACTTCATAATACGAGAACAAATTGACATATTTGCATTTCGTTATAAGCAATTTTTAGTGAAATTTGTTTTTATCGTAAATAATTCAAAATGCATTTCCGACATGCAAATGCCTCCTAAACTGAAAACATAAATTAAATCAAGTACCGGATATCTATAGCCTACCCCGTAACAATCTACTGCTGGCCACGGGCCATGAAAATAAAAAGGCAGCTCAAAATTTTACTGCCACAAATATCGCTCACTTATGGCAGTTAAATTATGATTATATATACTTGTGACTTTGTCCCCGTAAGCTATTGAAAAACCAGTTTACACACAGTTTTTCATATGATCTCAAAAACTGTGCTAAATGAGAAAATCCAAATTTTATTTAAGTAGTAGATAATACATATGTAACGTCCATGTCACACCTATGCCGATAGTTGTTGAGAGCTCTATACTCAAAGTTGTTGATGAATATGTTTACCTGGGAGAAATATTCCAACCAGGTAAGTCTATTTTCGCCCGAAAGATTAATCGGATTCAACTCGGCTAGGCAGCGTTTGGGAATTTACGACACATCTTGTCAGGTATATCTCAAAACTTGAAAACAAGATTGTATTTGAAATCAAAATTGGGTCTGAGATGTCGTTCTTCACTGCTGGCTGTATGAAGAAGCTCAAGGTTGTTCAGCAAGCTATGGAGAGGGCTATGTTCAGGGTTTCTCTGCATGACAAACTTAAAAATTAAGGTATTCACTGTAGAACTAGGGTAAAGGACAAAGCCCAATGGCAATTCACTTCAGTAAGCTGAAGTGGCAAGGGCCATATATTTCGTAGAACTGAAAACCGATGGGGAACAAAGGTTTTCGAGTGGCAGTCTAGTGATAAGTAATGCAAATAACCCCTTGAGTTTTAACTTTACAAGGTCTAAGTACGACCTGACATGGAATACTGTGCTAATCTCTGGGCTGGGGCACCCCAGTGCCAGCTACTTCCACTTGATTGCATCTATTGCAGAGCGCTTCGAATAGTCGGCGACCGAGCTCTTTCTAATCGGTTTGACTTGCGTGTGAAGATATATTGCATCTCTTTGCGTATTTTATCACATCTACCACGGGGAGTGCTCAGAGGAATCATTCAGATTAATTTCATCCGCTCCACTTCACCACCATCCATACCATCTGGATAATCGGCAGTTCACTACTGTGAAATTTACAAAAAGTTTTCTTCCTCGCACAACTTCCTTGTGGAATCGACTACCACCAGCGATTTTTCCATACTGAAACGATTTAGGGACCTTCAACAAAAGAGCCTACTCTTTGTTAAAAGGCCGACAATGCATCTGTAAATCCCCTAGTGTTGCAGTTGTTCATGGGCGGCGATAGTCACTTACTATCAGGTGAGCTGCATGCTTGTTTGCCCCCTTTCATATTAAAAAAAAAAAACAACGAGTTATATAGTCGAAACTATTTTTTATTATTATAGTATTAAAAAACGTAAGTTACTCGTGAAAAGTATGTAATGTGACAAGATTTAAAAGTTTAATTTGTCTTTTTTCCAGTATTGGATTTGCCATCGCCAAAAGATTGGGAGATGAAGGAGCTTCCATAATAATTAGCAGTAGAAAGGAAGCAAATGTGAAAAAAGCAACTGAAAGCTTACGTGGTGAAGGTATAAATGTAGAAGGCATTGTGTGTCATGTCAGCGACGCAGATCAACGAAAAAAATTATTTGATACTGTTAGTGGTTTTTTTTTTATCATTTTTACTGCGTGCGTGGTACGCACGCCCGCCCGCTCGCTAACACAAACTCTTGCCTTGATTTTTTTGCCTAGTCATGCGTGAGTGACGTAAACACCAAAGTTCTGTATGATAATCTATTGAGAATACCTACATAGTATATGTATAGTTACGCACTAAGAAAAAGGAAAAAAAGTAAAGTTTGTAAAATGGTTACAAATTACGCTAATTAACGTAGAGCTTTTGGATTGCTAAATTAAGTGTAATAATAGAGAGGGAACAATAGTTTTAACATTTTCTGATCATAAAGTACTGCGACAAAAAGTATAGGAAAAAATTGTAATTTAAGCAAGTTACCTATTTAAATTATACATAATGCACATGTGCAAATTTAACACTAGCAAGGCGGGAAAAACAGCTAACCTACAAAGGTGATCTAGGGTCATTTGACCCATCACTACCCACCCATCGCTACCTAGCCTATAATTATTATAATTTAATATTATAGATAATTTTAGAAATAATAGGCAATATTCATTGTTACAAAGGCAAATTAATTATTTTTTTATTTCTATTGTAAATAGGTGTTTAATAAAAAATATATTTCTTTTGTTTTCTTAGTCCTCCAGGCCGAATTTCGTCCACGGTATCCTGCCTCAACGGAGGCTAGCCATCGGCGCAAGGCAGGATTATAGTGCCCAAGTGTATGCGCAAGCACAGGTGCACTCTCTATTCCGTCACTCTCGTAATCCGATGGGACGGTAAACCGACACAACCGGGAGAGATATCAGGCGCAAGACTAACGGCTTTACGTGCTTTCCGAGGCACGGGGGTGAGACACCGCCAACTTCCTGACTTCGGGCAGCTACCGAGAATTTCTTGACAGAAAAACTCAATAATTGATTTTTTAGGCCCACCCCGGGATTCGAACCCAGGACCTCATGATCAGCAGTAGCACTACTGCAACCACTAGACCAACGAGGCAGCTAAAAAATATATTTAATTATGACATTAGAATAATTTTGGTTGATTACATCTGTCACATAGTGTTTTTATATAAGTCACATGCTTTATTGGTTTTATTTACTCTGAATGTAACATTACATTTACGGATTTATAGATTTTTTTGGATTTTATGTGTACTGGACCTGTGTACCTATTTTTGGATCACCCCTCGTTTAACAGTGTTAGTACAAAAGGTTATTCCTTGTATATTTCAGGCCAAATCCAAGTTTGGTGGATTCGATATTCTTGTTTCAAATGCAGCTGTCAATCCAGCCGTGTCACCCGTTCTAGAGGTATGGTAAAATAACATGTATCTGTGGTATTAATAGTATAGAGTGCGCTCATTTGTCACCCTTATTCTATATTAAAAAAAAGAAAACATTGTCATTCTAGTCAAGCCTCCAGTCATATTTACCATATTCAAAATTTTACCATTTTCAAAATTAAGATTAAAAATTGAAAGTGTTAAAGTTTTTGAAAATAATGTATGTGTAGCTGAAATATATAAGTTACGAGTATTTTAATTAAAGCTTAACACACACAAACCATACTACAGAATTGTTAAATAATGATTTTTATTCTTCTTCATAAACATTTCTCCTCTCCCGTTGTAGGAAAAATTTTCCTTGATCACCACGTTTTACAGGCGGATTGGCTATCCAAGTTCTAGGCATTTTGCACCTGATCCTGTCCCCAGTCATCGATATTGAAATTTTCGTCTGTCATAAACGGGACCGCCATATTTGTCTGAGTTTTCTCATACCTGATGAAATAGAGTAGCGGATCATCTTTGTTTTTGAAATTTTCTGTATTTATTCTATTTATTTTTGCATGTAAATTCCACTTAGAGATTGAAAATTTCTACATTCACCAAAGCATGTATTTTATATAGTTTCAAGTTACTGCTCATATTACACGATTTTGTTTGCTTTCAGACTGATGAAGTAGTATGGGATAAAATATTTGATGTTAATGTAAAAAGTGCATGGCTTTTGGCTAAAGAAGCTTATCCAGAGCTCATAAAAAGAGGAGGTGGAAGTATTGTTTTCGTATCATCAATAGCTGCTTATCAACCTATGGAAGTAAGTTTTTATTCCACTAAATACTAATATTTATTTTGCATTAATAAACATAGAATATACTTTTTTATGTATGAAATTTTTAAGCTAAAGTATGTAACATGCTGTTGCGCGTCATAGTTGATGCCTGGTACATGGCACTACCGCCATCTATTATCAAATAGAAGAACTAAGCTTTCTTCTAGAAAACTCCACACTCAGAATTTTCTACACTTAGTCCGTCGGGACCGGTATTTACTGGAACATTTTAGATGTTTTGGTGGAAAAGGCCTACTAAATAAAGCCGTTACGGGCCGCGACCCAGGCAGTATTGAATTGGCGATACAAGTGAAGACTTAGGAGCGAAATAAAGTGAACTAAAGTGTTAAGTGTGATTAATTATTAGTGTGTATTAGTTTTAATTGGTGTTCGGTAATTAAAGTGTCAATTTTGGTAATTCTATCGGCAGTTTTTATTGTCACGAACCCTAAGCTCGTAACAATACATTCTCATGTGTGATTATCCCCATATTTCCAAGATTTCGTATAAAGATAACATATTTAATGATCATATCTTTAGATCTTAAATTTTTACGCATAAACACAAGCATATCTTATAATCGCAAAAGTTAGGTATTCTTACAATACAATATCTTTATTTTTGTTTATGGATATTTGCCATAGTTGCACGATTTGCAGAAGAGTTGGAAACGCAGTTTTATTACTTTGAATAGTTATTAGAAAGATTCTGCCTGTCTCCTTTTTCAGTTTGGTTACCCTCTATGGCCTCTTAAAACGGGATCAAATAGGGTAGTGGATTCTGTTTAGTTGCCACAATATCGCAACAATACTTTTTTAATCTTATAAAAACCGCATATACTTTTGTGTAAAGTACTGGGCTGTACTTCACAAACATTCATATGTGGTGTTGCTACATAGAATACAGCAGCTTTAGACTAAGTAAAGAGTATGAGTAAAGAAATGAGTAAAGAGTAAGAGTAAAGACTAACTAAGAGGCTTATTGGTGATCTTGATTTGGTATAAACAGGTAAAGACTTAAATTAGAGAGCCTCTTGGTATTCAACAGGATATTATTTGATGAATGTATAGAGGAATTACACTTCATTATGTCTTCCGCAGCCTCCAAAACTGAATGCTTCGATTTTAATAATACGTTTTATACATGGCAAGGTCATGTTACCGCCACAATGTGGTGTTAAAACGAATCGGTCGAGTGCAGAGAACCGGAGTCCTTTTTTACTGGATGCAAAGCACACCATCTTAGTTCTCAGGGGTGACAACGCATCTGCATTTTGATTCTTATTTGAGGATAGATGTAGATTCTATGGGCCACAGCATTCACTAATCATCAGGTGGATTATGTGCTCGCCCTTATTCTATAAAAAAAACCCGATATGTTTAAAGAACAAGTTAATAGGCTAATCCAATGCGCTTTGTCATAATGTCTAGAACAACTTCACCACTTACCATCAGCTTGGATTTTAGTCGAACACTAGCTTGGTGATTGGTGATACATTCTCTTAAGCCGTTGCTAGACTGCCAAATTATGTTACTTTTGTTGATTATATAACATACATAGCTCTGTTGTATTTGTAATTGAATATTTTAAAGTAATATTAACAATGTCACATTTATGATCATGTCCTATTTTATTGATCATTCTAATGATTATTTACAGCCTTTAGGCCCCTATAGCATTAGCAAAACGACATTGCTGGGCCTAACAAAAGCAATTGCTTATGAAGTCGTGCGGGACAATATACGAGTTAACTGTGTGGCGCCAGGGATTGTTGCTACAAAGTTTTCTTCTGCGGTAAGTTATCTAATAAATATTTGAAATAATATTTCTTATGTAGTTATATAATTATGATTTCTGATTCGTACATTATTTTTTATGTCGTCTACTTTTATCGGATAGAAATTAAGAATAACTCTGAACTAGTCGTATTTCAATCGTAAACGATATACAACTTTTTTAGCTGCCATTAAGTTTTAGCAACATATTTGACAGTTGTTCCGTATTCAATTATTTTGTGTAGTTACGGCAAATACGATATTATATAAATATGAAACATGTATGTATATTGGTGCGTAAAATTCTGGATAAAGACATTCACTTCAAGTTAATGTTTACAAGGAAAAGACAAACACAAATATTGTGTTATTCAAAAAAACATTATAGCTCCACACAAATACTGAAAGAATTCTCCAGATACTGATGAACTGATAATCAAAAGATTATTATTATATATATTATAATATACGAAACAAAAAACAATTTGTTGTTGTTTACATTTTATGCACAATAATAATTATGTACATTAATTATATTTTCAATTGCTATCACCCAACTAATATGACAACGTTATATAATACTGTATTTTGTTTTCTCTATTTGTAATACGACGAAACGAAACGAAAGAGTTTACTCAGTTATTTTTTATGTGTACCATCTGCATGCTTAGACTTAGTATCAAGTTTTATCTTGTTTTCTCATTCATTTTTGAAATATAAATTTTAAATCTAAATCTGAAAACATGTGGTTTCAACAAGACGGGGCTAAGCCCCGTTTTTTCAAGAAATCACCATCGCCATTATCAGCCCATGAGTCCACCGCTGGACATGTTCCTCTCCTATTTCATGAAAGATTTGCTTGACGGCGGATTAACGATTGCAGTAACAGACTCCTCGAACCTTTGACGCTGCTCTCCGTCACCGTTCTTGGTGGTGGTTAACACCTGGTATAGATGGCTACACGGCAAAAACAAATGACAAGTGAATTTAATATAAACATTACAGTATATCAAACTCTACTGTCGATCATAAGTTTAGATTACCTGAAGGGTAGATTTTTATTGTATAGTGCCGTGTAATGGCGGTTGAGAATATCCACTACCCCATATCTTCCCGTGGGTGTCGTAAGAGGCGACAGAGAGTGACAGGCAGGAGATGGGCAGCAGCATCTTTCTGATAACAACTGTGTTATAATAAAAAACTGCGGTTGCCAACCCGCTCGCCAAGCGTGGCAACTATGGCAAATATCCCCCCATGAATAACGACGCAAAAAAACGGCCCCCAGTCCCCGGCGGCCCCGCTATTCCTGGCTACGGTGGCGACCATGGTAACGGCGGGGCAGGGGGTGCTAAGAATCTCCGGTGGGTTCGGTTGCCACCTACGACGACTCGACCTGGCAACATATAACGCACGCACTCTGAGGACTGACGAGAAGATACTGGAGCTAGAAGAAGAGGTAGACAAGTTGCGCTGGCATATTATTGGATTATCCGAGGTCCGAAGAGAGGGGGGAGGATACGGCAATCCTCGAGTCCGGCAACTTGTTCTACCACCGGGAGGGCGACCATCTGTCCCAAGGAGGTGTCGGATTTATCGTCCACAAGTTTCTCGTCAACAACGTTGTAAAGATTGGGAGTGTGTCGACGAGGGTCGCGTACCTGATACTCAGAATCACCAAACGGTATTCGCTGAAGGTCATACAGGTTTACGCACCAACCTCGGCACATCCCGATGAGGAGGTGGAGGAAATGTATGAGGATATTTCCAGAGCCATGCATTCTTCCAAAACCCACTACACGGTGTTGATGGGAGACTTCAACGCAAAACTAGGCACAAGAGAAAGCGGTGAGCTGAAGGTGGGGAAATTTGGAGTAGGGCAACGGAACCGAAGGGGCCAGCAGCTGGCCGACTTTATGGAAAAAGAAGGACTCTTTATGATGAACTCTTTCTTCCAAAAGCGGCCCCACAGGAAATGTACCTGGTCGAGCCCCGACGGTTCGACAAAAACTGAGATTGACTTCATTATGACTACCAGACTCCAACTGTTCAGTGATGTCTCAGTGATCGCAAGGGTTAAAACTGGCAGCGATCACCGAATGGTTAGAGGCACACTGAACCTAAATGTTAAGTTGGAGAGGTCTCGTCTAATGAAGTCAACGCTCCGTCCCCCTCGTGCTCTAATCCAGAATCCCGAAACCTTTCAGCTCGAGTTACAAAACCGCTTTCAGTGCCTAGAGGATTGCAATGCAGTGGACGATATGAATGACAAGCTCGTGGAAACTGTCCATGCGGTCGCAGCTAAGTTCTGCAAGACCCACCGCAGAAAAACACAAAAACTCTCCGATCACACTCTTAATCTCATGGCTGTTAGACGGGAGATGAGGCTGCAATCGTCAACAGATTTGACAGTATACAGGCAACTGAACAGACAGATCTCCAAATGCATGCGGCGAGACTTACGCAACCTTAATACTGCTCGTATTAAAGAAGCGATCGAGCGGAACCAGGGCTCCAAAGTCTTTGCCAGAGATCTGTCTGCCAGAAAGAGCCAACTGTCAAGGCTGAAGACCGAGTGTGGCAGCATCGTTTCCGGGACACCTGAGATTCTGAGTGAGAATGAGAGGTTCTATGGGCAGCTGTACACATCATCGTTGGAGCCACACGCAAGTGTGAGTAACGATCCAAGAGCAAGTCTTATCCGACACTATTCCGATGATATCCCGGACGTCAGTCTGAGCGAGATTAGAATGGCTCTCCACCACCTTAAAAACGGCAAGACCCCGGGCGAGGATGGAATTACAGCGGAGCTTCTGAAAGCGGGTGGAACACCGGTACTTGAAGTCCTTCAAACTCTTCAATTCCGTCCTCCATGGTGGCACTACTCCAGAGGCGTGAGCAGAAGCGCGGTGGTCTTGTTCTTTAAGAAAGGCGACAACGCTCTCTTGAAGAACTACAGACCGATTTCCCTTCTGAGCCGCGTCTACGTGCTGTTTTCGAGAGTCATTACGAATCATCTCGCACGCAGACTCGACGACTTCCAGCCTCCCGAACAAGCCGGTTTCCGAAAAGGCTTCAGTACCATAGACCACATACATACCCTTCGGCAAATTGTACAGAAGTCCGAAGAGTACAATCTACCACTTTGCCTGGCGTATGTGGACTATGAGAAAGCCTTTGATTCCGTCGAAATTTGGGCGGTGCTACAGTCTCTTCAGCGGTGCCTAGTTGACTATCGGTATATTGAAGTGCTGAAGCGTTTGTACAGTAGGGCTACGATGGCTATCCGAGTACAGAACCAGAGTACGAAACCTATCCAACTGCAGAGAGGTGTAAGACAGTGTGATGTTATATCCCCGAAACTCTTCACCGCTGCGTTGGAAGACGTTTTCAAGCTACTGGAGTGGAAAGGATACGGTATTAACATCAATGGCGAGTACATCACTCACCTTCGATTTGCCGACGATATAGTCCTTATGGCAGAATCGCTGGAGGACCTTAGCACTATGCTCAATGACCTCAATGGTGTCTCCCAACGGATAGGTCTTAAGATGAACATGGACAAAACAAAGATCATGTTTAATGTCCATGTCACACCTATGCCAGTAGTTGTTAGGAGCGCTATGCTCGAAGTTGTTGACGAGTACGTTTACCTGGGACAAATAGTCCGACTAGGTAAGTCCAACTTCGACCGAGAGGTCAATCGACGGCTTCAACTCGGCTGGGCAGCGTTCGGGAAATTACGACACATCTTCTCGTCAGGTATACCTCAATCTCTGAAAACTAAAGTGTATAACCAGTGCGTCTTGCCAGTGATGACTTACGGATCTGAGACGTGGTCCTTCACCGCTGGCCGTATGAGGACGCTCAAGGTCGCTCAGCGAGCTATGGAGAGGGCTATGCTCGGAGTTTCACTGCGTGATAGACTCAGAAATGAGGATATCCGCAGTAAAACCAGAGTGACCGACATAGCCCAACGGATTAGTAAGCTAAGTGGCAATGGGCCGGCCATATAGCTCGAAGAACCGATAACCGATGGGGAAGAAAGGTTCTCGAGTGGCAGCCTCGTACCGGTAGGCGTAGTGTAGGGCGACCCCCCACTAGATGGAGTGACGACCTGGTAAGGCATGCAGGAAATCGATGGATGCAGGTGGCTCAGGACCGTGCTTTGTAGCATTACTTGGGGGAGGCCTATGTTCAGCAGTGGACTTGTGAAGGGCTCTAATGATGATGATGAATGATGAAGATTTTTATTATTATTATGAATTCTTATTAGGAAGATATATGCCCGTCTCCTGTTTGTATTTCCCTCTGTCGCCTCTTACGACAGACACCCACGAGATAATATGTAGTGAATTCTCTTACTCTGTCATTTTTAAAGTACCTTGAAATTTTTGTTTATAAGTAGTAAATTTATAAAATAAGTTGTATATCTCGTAATTGGCCATCCTGTATAAAATACTAATCATAAGGCAGCTTATAGGCTCAGGGCACTATGCTATAAAAACACAAACTGTAAAACATTGAAGTAATATGTACTTACGTACTAGAACAGCTATTACCAACAAAAAATGTGCGCTACTCTGTGTTCGCGCGGTTTGTTTTCTTATCATAGAATAAACATAGGTAGAATGATCAGTAGGTAATAAAAGATTGTACTGTTAAATAGGTAAATTATATCGAGAACAATTTTTTAAATTTTGTCATTTATTTTGTATATTATATTTGCTTATTTAATATAATATTACATAATATTATATCAAAATTACGTTTTAATGATATTTTGATCTCAATATTTTAAAGGTCTATCTATCTCAAATATAAAAAAAACATACCAAATGTATGTTTAACAAAACTTGTTAATATAACATTTAAATTACAAATATATTTATTTAAATTAGAATAAGAACTGTTCATAAATACTGGACAAGCGAGAGTTAAAAATGGACGAATTTATGCCAAGCACTTTGACTTTGATGTGGAAACCTAAAAATAAAATATAAGAATACTTAGCAGATTTAAATATAAAAAATTTGGCCTAATTATGATAACTCATATAATTATGTTTCTACAAAAAAAAATGTGTATAATAATATATTCGTCCTATATTTAAGTACCCACAGAAATGTCGCATCTGAACAAATTAATTTCATAATCTATATTACGTGACACAAGATGGCGTCTTAGGAATAATTTGTTTTATTACTAATTTATAAAACTTTTTTATTGAGCCGTGGTAGCTCAGTGGTTAACGCTCGCTGTAACAGAACGCGAGTAACCCGGGTTCCAATGAAATTGTTAATTGCAATTTTAAGTGCTGATTTACCACGTGCTCGGCGGTGAAGGAAAACATCGTGAGGAAACCTGCATGTCTGAGGAATAAGAAAAAAAATATTTCGAAGACATGTGAAGTTCGTCAACACGCATTTGGGCAGCGCGGCGGACACTTCCTTGGCCTAAACCCTCTCAGAAATGAGGGGAGGCCTGAGCCCAGCAGTGGGACGTATATAGGCTGTAACTTTACTTTACTTTTTTTATTGAATAAGTATCTTATTAACCAATGAAAAGTAATTCCTTGGTATTTACTGACATTTCTTGAATTATTTGTGCAATATCTAAGTACGCACGACGGCATATTTTTATCACTAGATTTTTTTTAAATCAACACAACACGTGTCAACTCTACAAGCGCCTAGCGAGTGACTGATTAAAGTGCGGTGTATGCACCGCAGTTGAATGGAACATAGTAGCTGAATGCAGTCTCGCCTCTAGTACGTAGTATATATTAGCTCAATGCTGTAAAATAAAGAATTTACTTAAGTTCGATCAAATGACCAGACCTCGCGACCTATCACCCGAACCGACGAATGCGGGAAGCGAGCGATTGAAAGATTGACCGAATTGGAACCGGTTCGTGTAAGAAATCAATACTTGATCTATCGGCTCATTAGAAATGAACGGTTAACACACGACTACCCTGTACCAAATTCAAAAGTAGTGACATAAATATTACTGGTTGATGTATTGCAGTATTATACACATTTACAGATAACATCATCCGAGGCAGCAAAGGAAAAGAGTTTGTCTATAGTACCAATGAAGAGATTAGGGAAACCTGAAGAAATAGCTAGTGCAGTAGCATTTTTAGTCTCGGACGATGCCAGCTATATGACTGGAGAAACTTTAGTTGTAGCGGGAGGGACCTATGCGCATCTTTAACTTGAACTCTCCTAAATATTCCTGTTGCTTAAAATATTTGATTTTAACAGTTTTAAGAGTAACTTTGTTTCTTGTTTATATCAAAAGGTTTTGGGACTATGATAAAAACGTTGTTAATTGTTAAAATATATATTATTTTCTATATACACATGAGGAAATGTCTAAGGGGATGTAGTGACGCTAAAGTGTGAACTGTAATTAACCTAGGTACCAACTAATTTAACTCGAGATTATTATCAAAATATTAGTATTTAGGTCGGACGTATCTGCCTATGCGAAGGCGAATGATGCTGCTTTTAATCTTCTTCGGAGATTTAACTCAACTTCAAACTCGAAAAACCGTGCAGATATACATATTTTTGGGAGTAGCTTAAACGTAGCCATAAAAAAAACGGAAATGTGTAGGTGTATAATTTTAACGAACCAATAGTAAACAAGAATGATCTTAATCCGCAAAATATAGTCAACCAAACCACAGCAACATTGCTTTAACAAATGCGAATATTTAAAGAAAGAAATTGAGAAAAATAATGATTTCATATATTTACGAGAACTGTCTGAACTTACCATCAGGTGGACTATAAGTTCTTTTGTTACTACACTCAAGTTGAATGTGATATGTGTAAGATAAATTAATTATAACTATAATTAGACTAGCTTACGGTTGATCTAGTCTAGTTTTAGTGATAATTAGTCTACTCTATATTGCTATAATTAAAAGTTCATATTATGTTGATACATCCCAAGATGTGGACTATTGACGATTGTGTTTTAATTAATTTTAATGCTAACAAGCTGTGAAAGTAACTGTATAAAAATTTTGCTAAATTGTTTATATTTTATATTGTATATTTTTAAAAGAATTACATTATTTTTACCCTTGTTTTAAAAGTATATTTGGGAATATTTTGTAATGATTAGGTTTTTTAGGTGGATTGGTCCATATGGTGATATAACTATTTAACACATCGGTTTTTTACTTCAACTTTCAAATTTCTAATGTTGGGCAACGTATTTCCAAAGAGAAAAAAGAGATTATATTTTGTGCAATGATGATTTTACAATTTTTTATTACGATGATACTAACGGTTTCTGGTTTCTTGCTAATTCGACTTCTCGTCCTCATAGGATATTGATTGTTTCCAATATATCATCCCTGTCTAGTTTTACAACATTCCAAATAAATTTGGTATATTATAAATAAACTTTTTTAATTAAGATTATGCAGACTTATATTGAAAAATAATCGATTCTCTTTGGTTTTATACTTAAACGATTAAGTATATCTAACACATTCGAAGTTTCAAATTGAAACCACATGCTACTGAAGGTTAAGACCATAGACTTATGATATAATATGTTGTTATATGTTATAACCAACCAATATTGTTTTGTAAGAATTGTTACTGACCCTGTTACTTTTAAGTTTTTTGGTGGAGCTCATGTATTGGCTTTTTAATTATATAATCAATATGCAAGTAAATTGTTTCATTTTGATTTTACCTTGGAAACAAATTGTTTTACTTACGGCGCATGGAGCGCCAGACCATCATGTAACACTAATTTGTGATCTTGACGTGACGTATTACGGTATGTTAGAGCAACTGTAACTGTACAACACTGAATGTTAAGTGCGGTACGCTGTTTAACTGGCTATAAGGATAAATTGCATAAGCAAGAGATCAATTTATATGTGAATATAGTGTACGTACCTGAGGTTGCCACTCGTACTATAATATATAGTATCGTACTATATTTCTGTCAATTGTACTATATATGTATTATAGAAAAATAATATAGTACGAAAAATACTATATTTTTATTCCTAATTCAACAGTTGCGGTTCTTTATAAAAAAAATCGAAAGAACGAAAAAGAGCATTTATTAATTTAATTAAAAATTATTGATAATTTATTTTGTTATGAATGTAAATAGGTTAGACTCCTACAATTATTTTAAAAGTAAGGTAAATGGTAAGGCGATTAGATCATTGATGGCTAAAGCAAAGAGATATAACAAATATATAAAGATTAAAAGTAAATTTGTACTCTTCTCCCGAATTTCTTAAAAGTACTATATTTTTGCACCTTTTTTGGGAGGAAAAGAACTATATTGGTTCAAAAAAAGGTGGCGACCCTAAGTGTAAGTATGGTGAGTGTAGATAAACGGAGACCTTCTTACTGATTTTTTAATTTAATAACTACTAGTAAAAAAGAATTTCATCTTTTCCTCAGGGTAACAACGCGTCTGGATTTTGATTATAAATCGAGAGCAGATGTAGATGTCTATAGGCCACAGCATCCACTTACCATTAGGCGAACTGTGTGCTCGCTTGTCACCCTTATTCTATAAAAAAGGCGTTTTCCTTATGGTTTTTGTATTGATGGCTTGGAATCAAGAGACTTTTATATTTATTTAATTCTATTAAAAAGAAACCGTTGTATGGAATCTCACACATCGCACAAGCATTGCATAAAAATTATACTTTTAATAAGAAATAAAACTGTACTTCAAAGAACCAACACGAATAAAATAATTTCACATACTGATTACTGAAGTCGATGCTAACTCATAGTGTATAAAATAATTAAAATCCTATTAGGAATATCACAATCTTAATGTCGCCTAAACAGTTATATTAAAACCTTCATCCCTATTTTGCCACACTCAGGGGTGGAATATTTTTTCCAAATTTATATAACCTATTTAATATTAAAAGAATCTTCAAAATCGGGTCTCAGTTGGCGAAGATATCACGTAACATAGTTACTAGACGTGCGTGCCTCGCCGCGCCCAGCCCGCGCCGCGCCGACAAATCCGATCGGCATGCCGAGATCGAGCGCGGGCTGGGCTGCGCGCGGGCGCGTGGTCAATCATTGCAATTTCATTACTTCGATCTCATAGGTGCGCACGTGCGATCAGTTAGGTAGTTTGTTTTGGTCTAATAATTGCCTATTTGTACATATTCGGTGGTGTATTTTATTAGTGCGCAGCACGTAAAATGGCGGCAATTGTGAAAGCGAACATTAAACAGTTTTCAATATTTGTGCTACACGACGCCTAAACTAAGACAAGTTTTTGTTGGCGGCATTTTGGTGATCTGCTTATCGAAGAGGATTATAAAAAGAAAGTGTGCAATGATCAAGTGTTCTGCAATGCATTCTTGACTGCTGTCCAAAAAGAAAATGATGAAATATCATTTGGATTGTAAGTATCTTACTTAGGTACCTTATCTATTATCTATTATTTACGAAAAATTGAAAAAATACAGCCAAGCCGGAACAAAAGTTAAATTTTTATCTACGGTAACCGCTGTTAACTATGACATTTAGACGTTGAACATCTCAGTCCTCCCCGTGACCATGGGTGCTGTAAAGCGCTCGAAACGTCGGGTATTTATAGTTAAATATACGCCATAAAATCCGTAAAAACTAGTATTATTTCAATGTGTAGTATTCGCGTAAATATAAGAAATCATTAACTATTAATATCTTTATTATAATGGATTTCCGCAAAGAAACGCCTGATTCTATTAATTATCTTAAAAAAGAACAGTCGAATTGTGAACCTCCTTATTTTTTTAAAATTTGTTAAAAAGAAAGGCAAGTCGTATATATTTAATTACATTTATTATTATTATTCTTCATCATCGTCGGAATCCAGTAAATCTGTTTTATTAATTCCTACAGATCTTAAAATATTGCTTGATGGCCCTGAAAGTCCTTCTTCTTTCATACTGTGTACAAAATTTTCAAGTATAGACTTATCACTTTTTAAATGAATATGTTGTTCACTTGAGACCATTTCTGCCTCGAGTTCTTTGTCAAGCTGGTGCCCAGTATCGACAAAACTGTCAGAAATTTCGTTGTCACTAGAATCACTCAATTCGTCATATTCTGCATCTAGTTTCACCATATTCAACATACTTTCAACACATGTAAAAAATTGGTTGCAATCAAATTCTATTTTATCATTTTGGATACATGCATCATTTTCTTCTATACCTTCGAAATCAGATTTTTGAGAAAGAAAATTGGATAATCCAGTTGTAATAATACTAGGTGTTATAAGATCATCAGAATTTACTTGCTTCCTGTAATTTTTATTTAATAAATCATCCAACGTAGAAGGATCAACATTTAACCACTCATCACTGTCTTCACCATGTAAGTATAAATTAGGGTTTTGAGTTAAAGCCTCTTTGATTTGAACGAATTCTTTTGATGATAATATGTGGGATATATTTGAAGATATATAAGAACTGGCGGGGCATTCCGTTTCCATAAAATATGTGTTTGCTTTATCTAATAATTGTTTATAATCCTTAGAGCCTTCAATGTTACCTTTAAAGTATCCATTTTTCGTCAAATTATTCAAAAACTTTTTATATTCCGTAGAAGAAAATTTATCTTTTCTAGATTCACTCATAATCATTTCATAACCACAAGCCAATTTATATCCGATAACGTTTTTCTTGTCAGAAAAGGAAATTTTTGCATTACGAAAGTTAGCTATATGTTTTGAATTTAAAAGCACAGCATATTGAAACTTTGTAAACTGAACATTGACATTAACACAGTTATCAAATTTTACTTTTCGAAAAATTTTCGCATCAATGTAATCATGACTGCGGTACATATTAACGAGAGATGATATAAGTGTAGGTTTTATTATTAATAAAGCAGCTAAATCAATAGGTATATTAACTGTAGCTTTGTGTTTGAGTTCTTTTATTCTATTCGGATAAGCGCCAATTCTTTCCAGAATAGCTTGTTCTATTTGTAATCCAGCTTTTGTTTCTTCTGGGTGTTCTATGATCAATTTTAAAGCATCGTTTAATTTCAATGGGGTCTTTAGTTCAGCTACTGATGGCGGTATTAAATGTATATGGTTGTTATAAATAAAAACCTGTAACAAAAATAAATTTAAACATGTTTGGCAAAAACAGTTTATTTTACGTAAATATATAATTATTTTGAGCCGTGGCAGTTCAGGTTGCT